TCATCCTACAGTGCCACACCAGAACTCCACAACTCCAAAAATGTAATCAGTGTCACTGAATTGTCCATGTAGAAATTGTTGAATCAGTGCATGTCCTGCTGTGTTTATTCTCAACAACATTTATTTATTCTCAACAAAAATCATTATGATGATTTTTTTAAGTACAGAAATGGTAGCCAGGCATCATCACTATTCTAGACTCAGGACAAAGGAGGTGATAAGTGATATATGGACATGTAGTCCATAAAATGGGAATTTTTAACGATTGGTTGAAAAAAGCATATGGTAGTCCCCCTTTCTATAAGTATTAACTTATAAATATTAACTCATTTAAGGCTCATAACATCTGATGAAGTAGGTATTGATAGCATTCCCATTGTATAGAAGGGAAAACTGAGGCAGAGCGTGGCTTTAACCAAGTGGTCCAAAATCACATAGTCGGCAAATGGAGAGGATTCAACCTCCTGGACTGTGCACTTCCACATGAAGGCCAGGAATCTGGTTCATGCTCGATCCTCTCTAGCTAGGAGGTGAGCTCTGGGACGAGACCTCTCTGACCAGAGGCTACAGTAGATGTTTAATAAACAATTTGTGGAGGGAAGAAGATAAGAGAGGAGTTCACACCCTTTCTTAGCCGCTGAGTCCTCCTGTAGCTCTCTGCTCTTGAGACTATATTTGTGGTCAAAGCATCTAATTCAAACCGGGTCTTTGTGGGTACTTGTCGCCAAAATAAAGCCACAGGGTCTCACGGGACTGGGTTCAGGATGGAGAAAAATGTACGGTGGCGCACGGGCGCCACCTGGAGAAAGCATACGGCTATGACAGGGCTGTGAGGCAATACCAGAACCGTTTCATCTGGGGATGTCGAGATTCCGCCTTTGCAAAGGGGTGCTGTGAAGTGTACTCATGGGCAGTTGTTTGGAAAAATCAATGAACGGACGCTGAGCTTTCAATCTTTGCTGACCACGACGCACAGTAAGAAATCATTTATGGTGAAAAGCAAGTCTCCAGAAATTGAGGAAATACAAATTGAGAAGTTTCAACAAACTGATACAGTCCTGGAGGGGCTCAGTATGTCAAGCTATTTGGAAGACATCCATATTTGTGCCCATTCCAAAGAAAGATGACCCAACACAATGCAGAGATCAACAAACAATATAATTAATATCACATGCAAGTAAAATTTTGCTGAAGATAATTTAAAAATTATTACAGCAGTACATCAGCATGGTGGTGGTAGTGGTGGTGGTGTGCCGTGGAGTCGGAGTCGGTTCCGACTCAGAAGGGAGCTCTCAGAAATTCAAGCCACATTTAGGAAACGATATGGAAGGAGGGATATCGTTGCATTTCTGTTAGATGGCTCTTGACTGAAATCAGAAAATACCAGAAAGATGTTTCCTTGTGTTTTATTGACTATGCAAAGGCATTTGACTGTGTGGCTCATACCAAACTATGGAAAACATTGAGATGAACGAGTGTTCCAAAAACTTCATTGTGCTTATGAGGAACTTGTACATAGACCAAGAGGCGATCATTCAAACAGAACAAGGGGATACTGACTAGTTTCAAATCAGGAAAAGTGTATATTAGGGTTGTGTCTTGTCACCATATTTATTCAATCTGTATGCTGAGCAAATATTCCAAGAAGCTAGATTATATGAAGAAGAATATGGAAACTCTATGGGCCACTCTACTGTGTCCTATGGGTCACTATGCATTGGCAGTGGGTTGGTTTGAGTTAGAGGGTGTTGAAAAATGCTGGAATAAAAAAAATGTATTCCTAAAAAAAGAAATCATTTAGCTACTACATGTTGCTGTGTACCATCTAGTTGATTCCCACTCATAGACACCCAATGAGATTAAAACTGCTCCATAGGGTTTCCTATGACAATCTTTACAAGAGCAAATTACCAGCGTTTTCTTTCAAAGAGCTCTTAGGTGGGTTCAAACCACTAACCCTTTGGTTTGTAGCCAAGTGCTTAACCATTGTGACACCAGAGCTCCTAAAACATCTACATAGTTTCACAAAATAGTAGCACCTTGTACTATGTGACAAGGAGCATGGTGGCTCTGTAGAACAAGCATTGGACTGCAAATCACAAGGTTGGAGATTTGAACCCACCAGCCACACCTCAGGCTAAGGATGAGCTTTGTGCTCCTGCGAAGATTTCCAGCCTGGGAAACCCTACACAGGGTCGCTATGAGTCAGAACGGACTCAATAGCACGTAACAGCTATGTGACACTTTTTATTTTATTCCATTCCTTCCTATTTATAAAATGCTGGTCTAAACCACTTTCCATAGGATTGATTCTGACCTATGGCAACCCCATGTATCGTAACAGTAGAACTGCACTCCATAGGGTTTTCAAGACTGTGATCTTTTGGAAGCAGTTTGCCAGACCTTTCTTCCAAGGAACCTCTAGGGTAGGTTCAAGTAACCAACCTCTCAGTTAGTAGTTGAGCACTTAACTGTTTGTGTTATCCGGTGACTCCATTTCAGGAATGTTGTTGTTGTTGAGTGCCGTCAAGTCGATTCCGACCCATAACAAACGTAGGGTCTGCTTTATCCGTGACATCGCAATAGGCATTAGGGCTGTCCACAAATACCCTTCCTCTTTCTCCTTCCATACACAGAAAGACTGCACTTCCCACTCCTACCCCACCCCCTTTATAGTCAAGTGACGCATTTGTCTCAAGTGAAAGGGACATAGGTCATCCAAGTAGTGTCAGAGTCTGTGCTATTTTCTCTTTTTGGGACCCACAGAGACTGCCAACATAGCAGATAATGGCTGTCTCATGGACCTGGGTCATGGTGTGAGCAGAGCCTTCACCAGGCCCACAATGCATCAGTAGTAATATTTGTTAAGTGCCATTAAGTCAGTTCTGACTCACAGCAACCCTGTATAGGGTTTCTGAGGAGCAGCTGGTAGGTTTGAATTGCTGAAGCTTATTCTACAGCCACACCAGGACCAATAGTGTTATTGTTATTAAGTACTGTTAAGTTGGTTCCGACTCATAGCAACTCTGTATAGTTTCTGAGGAGCAGCTGGTGAACTTGATCTGCCAACCTCTGGGTTCAAACTGAACTTGTGGTCCAGTACATTATTCTACAGCGCCACACCAGAACCAAAATTGTTGTTGTTAAGTGCCATCGAGTCGGTTCCGACTCCTAGTAATCCTGTATAGGTTTCCAAGGAGTGGCTGGTGAATTTGAACTGCCGACCTTGTGTTTCAAACTGACCTTGCGGTCCAGTGCATTATCCCAAAGCACCATACCAGGGCTCCATGGACCAAAAGTAGTGGAGAGAAATGAACCTTTGTTGCCTTAGGGCCACTGTGATTCTAGAACTGTTTGTTATAGCAGCAGCACCAAGCCTGTCCTGGCTGATCCAGTCCCAGTAAAGCTTGAGATGTGGAAGTCTCAAACAGTGAATGAATGAACAAATACTGTGGCCATCCTGTGGATTCTGGCTCAAGGCCAGACCATGTGTGTCAAGAGTACAACTGTGCTCCATAGGATTTTTCAATGGCTAATTTTGTCCCCAGCAGATCACCAGACCCTTCTTCTGAGGTACCTGTTGGTGGATTTGAACTTCCGATCTTTCATTTTTATTTTTTTACTTCTAATCTTTTAGTCGAATCGACTTGACAGCACTTAACAACAACAACAACAATCTTTTAGTCAGCAGCTGAGCTTCTAAACATTTATGCCACTCAGGGATATCACAAACAAAGAATTTTAAAACAAAGAACAAAAAAAAAACCTTTCTTTGGCCTTGAGTCCATTTCAACTCATGGCAACCCCATGTGCTAGAGCAGAATAGCTCTGTAGGGTTTCTGGTTGTGTTCAATATGGAAAGATTGCCAGATCTTTCTTCCACAGCACCTGAGTGAGTTCAAACCACCAACCTTGAGGTTCATGGTTATTTATATTGAGTTTATTCTGACTTACAAAGACCACCATGTGTGTCAGAGTAGAACTGTACTCAATAGGGTTTTTATTGACTGATCCCCGACCCCCCCACCCCCCCGGAAGTAAATTGTCAGGTCTTTCTTACAAGGCACTTCTGGGTGGACTCAAACAGCCAACCTGTCAGTTACCTTAACCGTTTGTGCCACTCAGGGACTTCCTGAATAAATGTTATTAAGTGCTGTCACGATGGTTCTGGCTCATAGTGACCCTGTATGGGTTTTCAAGGTGCAGCTGGTGAGTTTGCACCACCAACCTTGCAGTTAGCAGTCCTGTGATTATCCTACAGCACCACACCTGAATGAATGGCTAGCAGGAAATAAAATCTCCACTAAATAAAATCTCCACTAGCAAGGTCTCCCCCTGGTGGTGCTGTGGGTTAACCACTGGACTTCTAACTCCAATGTCATCAGTTCAAACCCATCAGCAGTTCAAGCTGTCTGCTCCTGAAAAGAGTTCTCGTTTTGTTTTGTTTTTTTTGGAATCTCTAGGGAGTCCTAGTCTGTCCTGTTGGATTGCTGTGAGGGTGAATTGAGGCAGCAGCAGCAGGCTTGGGTTTGGGTTTGGGCTAGACATAGAAAAAAATGCCCTGTATCAAACTGGTACACACACACACATACACACACACACACACACTTGCAAACACGCTGGGGGAAGAGGCAGGCTCCGCCTTTTATTTCCTGTAATCACAGCTCTTCCCCAGCCCCACCCCAGCCCACTGCTCAGGACTTGGGGAACCTGAGGTCCCTGTCGAGGGAAGAGGAGCTATAGAGGAAAGGAGAACCTGGGAGATGGGGTCAAGGAGGGAGAGAGAAACAGGGAGGCAGACAGAAGATGGGAGAATAAACAGAGAGGTGAGGAGAGGGATTGTGAAGACAAGGGGGCAAGAAACGCAGAGGGGAAGGAAAGGAGGGTCGACACAGGGAAGCAGATACATGGGTCGCAGAGTCGGGGAGAACGGAGAGAAAGGGAAGGAAAGAGACCCAGGGAGGGCCCCACGAGGTTTCAGGGCCGGGGTGTGGTAGGTCCTAGGAGTCCTTGCTGATGGTGGAGCCAGGACCCGTACTGGATCCCTGGCCTCCGCTCGACTCAGACTCTGTGCTTTGGCCTTCCTGACCCCCACTGGACTCAAGGTAGCCGGTGGAGCCCAGGGAGCTCTTAGAACTGGCGGGCAGGAAGGCGGCACCGGAGCTGGTGGAGACGGAGTCTCCCAGCGTGGCTCGGCTGGATCCGTGGCCCGTGCTGGAACTGGGGAGGCCAAAGGTGACATGGCCTACATTGGAGCTGGTGGCCCGCCCGGCGCTGGACGTCAGGATGCCGTTGTTGGTCCGTTGGCTCAGGATGGTGCCAGGAACGATGCCGCTGTTGCTGTGCGCGCTCACTAGGACAGAGCTGTAGCTGGCCACTCGGGTACTGTCGCCCTTGCGCGCCGCCTCCGCCAGTTCTTTCTGGTGCTGTTCCCGGGCCTGCTCCCGCGCCAGCTCCCGGGCCTCCAGCTAGGGGGTGGGGCAAGTCAGATTGGTGTGTGTGGTGGGCTGAGGTCTCCCACATCCCTCCTGCAGTGGGCGCCCACACTCACCGATTTCACCACTAGGCTCAGGAGCTCCTCCTTGCTCATAGGATAGTCATCTTTGCCCTCAAAACCTGGGTGGTCCTCTCTAGGGTCGGGGGAGACAGGAGGAGGCTGGACTGTTGACCCGAAAAGGGCCAGTGGCTTCTCACTGCTTTACACAGATTCTGAGCCAGGCCCAGTGCCCTCTCCCACTCTGGTTTGCCAGGCCCCTATTCTCCACCACTGGGTGGCAGTTTATGTCAGGGTGTCACTTTGGTGAAGCTAGGGCTCAGTGGCTTAGCAGATACTGGACTGGGTGTTCTTCTGTATATACTGTGATATATGATGGTGGTGGTTATGTGCCGTGGAGTCAGTTCCGACTTATAGCGACCCTGTACAGGGTTTCCGAGGCTGTAAATCTTTACGGGAGCAGAAAGCCTCATCTTTTTCCCGTGGAACAGCTGGTAGTTTTGAACTGCTGACCGTAAGGTTGGCAGCCCGATTCATAACCACCACGCTACCAGATGTTGTTAGGTGTCATCAAGTCAGTTCTGACTTACAGTGACCCTCTGCACAACAGAAGAAAACACAACGCAGTCCTGGGCCAATCTTACAATCGTTGCTGTGCTGGAACCCATTGTTCCGGCCACTGTGTTAACCCATCTCATTGAGGGTCTGCCTCAGTTCCACTGAACCAATATGATACCCAGCATGATGTCCTTCTCCAGGGACTGGTCCCTCCTGATAACGTCCTGATGAAGTCTCAGCATTCTGACTTCTAAGATGCATTCTGGCTGTACTTCTTCCAAGACAGATTTCCTGACAGTCTGTGGTATAGTTAGTGTTCTTGTCAACACACCATCATTTGCAGACATCGGTTCTTCTTTGGTCTTCCTTATTCAGTGTCCAGCTTTCATACACATATGACACAACTGAAGTATTGTATGTCGTTGTCATTGTTAAGTGCCACTGAGTCAGTTCCAACTCATAGCGACCCTGTATAGGGTTTCCAAGGAGTAGTTGGTGGATTTGAACTGCCGACCTTGTGGTTCGCAGTCCAGTGCTGATCCTACAGCACCACATAATGTAATGTAATGTACTATATATATAATGTATGTACTATATGTAATGTACAATAATGTAATCATCTTTCACGACGGAGCAGTCAGTTAAAAGGGGGTGTCTTCTAGGGGTATGGCCTGTTTCCAGAATACCAGCGGATGTTCTAACAAACCTGCATGCAGCTCTTGGACCTGCTAGACCTACCTCTGTGTGAACCAAACCCTTATAGTAAATATTTATAGACAGATTGTGCGTATATATATTGTTGTTGTTGTTGTGAGGTGCCATTGAGTCAGTTCCAACTCATTGTAAAGGTTTTCTGAGGAGCAGATGAGCTTGAACTGCCAACCTTGCAGTTCAAACAGGTTTGCAGTCTGGCGCATTAACCCACAGCGCCACACCTGGACTCGTGTATGTATATATAAAACCAAAAAGAATCTGACAAAAAATTCCTCGGCTGTCCAGTCAATTCTGCCTTATAGCAAACTTACAGAACAGAATAGAACGGCCCCATAGCACACTACCACATCTTTCTCTGGAGACTGGTAGATTCAAACCGGCAGCCACACACTTAAGCACTGCGCCACCAGGGTGTATGTGTTGCCATCAAGTTGGTTCCGACACATAGCGACCCTCTATAGGGTTTTCAAGGCTATAAGTTTTCATACAAGTAGAAGCCTTATTTTTGTTGTATGAAGCAGTGGGTGGGCTCGAACCGCAGACCTTGTGGTTAAGTGTAGCTTATACTACAGAACCATGGCGCTCCCATATATATAGATAGATTGGTGTTGTTGTGAAGTGCTGTCTAGTCAGTTCTGATTCATAGCGAGGAGCAGCTATGGAAATAGAACCACCAACCCTGTGCCATACCAGGACTCCAGATAGACAGATGTTTTGTTGTTACTGAGTCCTGGTGTGGCGCTGTGGGTTAATTCACCAGATTGCAAAGCCGTTTGAGCTGAAAGGTCAGCGGTTCAAGCTCACCAACTGCTCCTTGGAAACCCTACGCTTCACAACAACAAAAGCTATAGAGTCCGACTCATAACAACCCGCTATGGGGTTTCTGAGGAGCAGCTGGCAGGTTTGAACTGCTGACCTTCTGGTTAGCAGTCACCTATAGCATCACCCAGGACTCTAGATCACCTATAGCGTCACCCAGGACTCTAGATCACTCGTTTTGCTCCTCTGGTGCCCCAGAGTGTGCTGTTGACCCCAGGGACTCTTGGGTCCCTCCTTCTCCCTCCTGGGCCCCCTCGAGAGCTCAGTCCTCACTTACCGGTTGTCTGGGATCTGAGGCAGGGTTGCCTTCTTCCGCAGATCTTCCGGACTCTGGCCCAGCACTGGAAGCGTGGTACTGTACAAGCTGGAGGACGTGTAGTTCTAGAGGGGAAGGAAGCTCCATGGGCACCTCTGGCTCATACCCCAGGCCTGGGCCCTCTACCTGTCCACCCGCCCATCCACCTTGACATCCAGGAAGGCCTGCACTGTCAGCAGTTCCACCACCCGCTTCTCAATGAGACCCAGGAAGAGGCCTATATCTCGGTCCCGCATGTGGGTCTTGACTCCAAGGAGGTCATCAATGATGGTCCTGTCACAGTGGGCCCGGGTGAAGAGGAGCTGGAGGCCTAGGGTGGGAAGAGGTGGCTGTCACAGACCGAGGGCCCGCTGGGTACCAGTCCTTCCCCAATGCTTAATCCACAGTACCATGGGGGCTTCTTATTAGTGTGTGTTGTTCTTGTTAACTGCTGTCAATTCGATTCCAACCCATAGAGACTCTGTATAGGGTTTCTGACTAGCAGGTGGTTAGCTTGAATCAGCAGCCTTGCAGTTCAAAGCGACTTTTGCAGTCCAGTACATTAATTAACCCATAGCACCACACCAGGACTCCATTAGTGTATGTTATTAAGTGCTGTCGAGTCGGTTCCAACCCATAGCGACCCTGTATAGGATTTCCGAGGAGCAGCTGGTAAGCTTGAACCGCCGACCTTGCAGTTCAAATGGCTTTGCAGTCTGGCGCATTAACCCACAGCGCCACACCAGGACTCCTCATTAGCGTATTGTTGTTGTTGTCAAGTTCCTACCCATAGCGACCCTGTATAGGGTTTCCGAGGCTGTAAATCTTTACGGGAGCAGAAAGCCTCATCTTTCTCCCGCGGAACCGCTGGTAGTTTCGAACCGCTGACCTTGAGACTGTCAGTCTGAGTTTTAACCACTATGCTACCAGAGCTCCTTTCCATTAGTGTATGTTGTTGTTGTTATGTGCCATAGAGTCAGTTCCGACCCATAGCGACCCTGTATAGGGTTTCCGAGGGTGTAAATCTTTACAGGAGTAGAAAGCCTCATCTTTCTCCCGCGGAGCAGCTGGTAGTTTCGAACCGCTGACCTTGAGGTTAGCAACCTGATTCGTAACCACTATGCTACCAGAGCTCCTTTCCATTAGTGTATGTTGTTGTTGTTATGTGCCATAGAGTCAGTTCCGACCCATAGCGACCCTGTATAGGGTTTCCGAGGGTGTAAATCTTTACAGGAGTAGAAAGCCTCATCTTTCTCCTGCGGAGCAGCTGGTAGTTTCGAACCGCTGACCTTAAGGTTCACAGCCCGATTCGTAACCACTATGCTACCAGAGCTCCTTTCCATTAGTGTATAGATACATATAAATAACACAGAACAGAAATCACAGAAATTACATAAACAGACTTTCACATACGGTCAAAGGATTTTTGATCAAGATTGCAATGGATAAAAAAAATAGTATTTTTCACAAATGCTGTTGGAATAAATGTATATGCATCTGGCAAAACATGACCTTAACCCTTACTTTGTAACCATTTACAAAAATTGAAGACATTTTACCACAAATTGTTCAATCCCATTGGTAGATATTTACCAAGAGAGCTTAAAACATTGCTGTTGTTACGTGCCATCGAGTTGGTTCCAACTCAGAGAGAGAGACCTATGCACAATGGAATGAAACACTGCCCGGTCCTGTGCCAATCTCAAAATTGTTGTTACACTGGATGGATGGATGGATAGACACAGGGTAGATGGATGGACACTGGATGGATGTAAGATGTATGGACACAGAATCGAAGGATGGACACTGGATGGATGGATGGATGGATGGATAGACAGACACAGAATGGAGGAAAGGGTGCCGTATGGATGGGTATAGGATTGATGGATGGATGTTGGATGGGTGGGTATAAGATGGATGATGAACATGGAATGGATAGGTATTGGATAGATGGATGGGCACTGGGTGGATGACCAATGGCTGGCTGGATAAAAGATTGATGGATGAATGATAAGCTCACCTTGGATTCCCAAATGAGAAAGCTGGGGCTGGGAAAGGGGCCGCTGTAGGTGCTCACCAGTCTTAAGCTTCTCCAGCAGCTGCCTCAACTCCTGAAAACGGATATCCAGATCCGAAGCCTCTGCGTGCACCTCGTCCACACGCTGCTGCAACGCCGCCCGCTGCTGCTCCCACAGTGACCTCTGGGCCTCCTCTCCTGCGCGGGCACTCACCATGGCCTCTTCCATCTGTGAGAGAGGGGCGGGAGAGGGGTGGTGAGGGGCCAGGATGGAGGGTGGGACCTGGAAGAGGTGAGGGGCGGGGCCTTGGAGATGTGGGGCCCGGTGTGAACGGGTGTGGGCGTGGTCTGACAAGAGGAGCTGGGCTGAGGAGGAAACTGGCCAGCGGTCAGGAGGGCGGGGCTGGAAGATTGTCTAGGCGGGGCCTGGAAGAGGGCAGCTGGTTGTTAAGGACTCATACATAGAGACCCTAGATAGGGTTTCTGAGGCTGTAAATCTTTATAGGAACATAAAACCTTATCCCTCCGAGTAGCTGAAGGCAGATTTTGCTGCGGTTAGCAATCCAGTGGTTTCTCTACAGGATTCCAGGTGGGAAAAAGAAGAATAGGGAAAGGGACCGGGGAGAGGATGTAGGAGGTTGGAAAGGGGGGGAAGGGAGGGAGGGGCTCACTCACCTCCTTAATCTCTTCCCGTAGGTGCTCCAGTTCCGAGTTCTGTTCATTGATGAAATTGAATTCAGCGAAGTTTCGTTCCTCAACTAGTCCAGAGGCAGAGACACGCAGAAGAACGGAAAAGTTGTATTACAACAGAACGACACACAGAAATGTTGACACAGGTTCATGACAACCAAGACACAGGTGAAAACGCAGGGGACACGGAAACACACAGGCAGAAACCCCGAGAAACAAAGAGCGAGTGAGAGGGAGAAAATGGTAGAGGCGGGTAATGAGACAGAGACCTGGAGGAAGAGACGGCAGTGTAGACTCGGAGGGAAACACGAGGACACCGGGTTGAGTGAAAAACGTGAAGGGGGACCAGCCAAAGATGGAGAGAGAAACACACAGATCTAGACTCTGGCAGAGGGGACAGAGGGAGGAGGAGAGAGAAGGGGGCAGAGACAGAGATGGGGAGCGAGGAAGCCACACAGGATCAGACGGGGGTAGGGAAAGACAGTAAGAAGCAGGTGGGAACGACGCAGCACCTTCCATCCTAATCCCTTGCTTGCTGCAGCCCCAGTGAAGGCAGGAGTCAGGGCAGGAGAGGAGATAAACAGTGGGGATTGCATTGGGGAGGTCCTTGGGCCCCCTTAGCCCCCTCCCTTAGACTGCCCTCGCCGCCCACCGACATCCCACTCACTCTCCAAGTACTTTTCCACCAACGTGTCCGGGTCACTCTCCCCTGTCAGCTGCGACAGTTTTTTCAGGGTGTCCTCATACCGAAGCACCAGCTTCTCCTGCGAGGTCTTGCGGAGACCTTCGGCCACGTCCCGGGCTGGGGGCATGGAACTATAAGGACTGCAGCCAATCTCATTCTGCCCAGAGGGCGCTCTTCTGGTGAGCAGCCTGCCAGCTGCCTTCCGCTTTTTCCAAGGCCGTCTCCCGAAGCCCCGCCCACAGAAAGGCTACCCACCTGATGCCCCGCCCTCAATGACACACCCTCCCGAGGTCCGCCCCCTGAAGCCCCACCCTCCAGATGTTCGGCAAGTCCACGAACCGGCCCCTCCTCCGTTTACAGCCGACCTGTCCCGCCTGTTAGAGTTGCGCCGGTCTCCCCCTCCCTACCCGGACGACCCCAGCCTAGGAGCCCCGTAAACGTCAGGCCGAGCCTTACCCCGCTGAGCCCGCTTCTCCATGATGGCGGGATCCGGCTGTCGCTCGTTGTTTTTGAGCTTGAGAAAGGCGTGCAGCTGCTCCAGGTGTGAAATCTGCCTTTGCAGGGCCTGCGCCTCAGTCTCGCTCTGGGCCACCTCCTTTTCGGCCCTCTCCCGCAGCAAGCCCATCTTGGTCTTTGCCTCCTCCCTGGGGGGCGCAGAAGGAATCATCCCGAGGTCAAGGGCACTGGGAGTTGGGTTGGAGGAGAAGCAGGAACTAGGAGGGGTCCACAGAGCAGGGCTGTGGAAGAGATGGAAACCTCAAAAACACAGACAGAGGGTGGAGATGGGGAGTGAGGAAGCCACACAGACCAGGGAGAGAGGGGTGCAGAAAGGAAGGAAGGCAGTTAAGAAGAGGGTGATAGCCAGGGGGTACCTTCCATCCTAATTTATATCCATTCCTGTCTTGCTGGAGTTGCTGAGCGTGGGGTGTAGAGACAGGGAGAGGGGACAGAGGCAGGAAGACCCTCAGAGAGGGGTGGGTAGAGATTGATGAAGGGGAAATGAGGACAGATGGAGGTGGAAGGAAGAGGAATATTGCCCCACGCAACAATAAATAATTCAAAATGCCCCTTGTGGACAAGGTGGGCCAAACGGGATGAATCACAGGGGGTAAGGTATGGGACTTCATCCTCTAAGGAACTGGGTAATGGGGGGGGGGGAGGGAAGCAAAGGGGGCATCCGTTCTGAATGACGGTCTATGCTCAGAGTCCCCATTGACCTTTCAGAGGCTTATAAAAAGGTGTGTCCTAAGCCACTTGGGCCCAGTCGCCCCCACATCCCACCCATGAGGCCCTACCTGACGGTGTAGGCAGAGTTGGAGGAAACCATGAGGGTGCTGACAGCCTGCCTCAGAAGCTGGATCTCCTGGGGAGAGGAGAAGACAAACAGACCCCAATTCTGATAGCCTGGTTCCATCTTCCAGGAAGGGTCTCCCCTTCCGGTCCTATTCCCACCACACCAAGGAAGAAGTGGCATTCTGGTGTCTCCAAAATGTGGGCCTGCCTAGGAACAGGCTCTCCCGGAGGTAGGGGGTCTTAGGAACAGGCTCTCC